CAAACACACACACACACACACACACACACACACACACACACACACACACACACACACACACACACACACACACACACACAGAGACATCAGACAGACACACACACACATATTCATAAATGTCATGAAAAGACATCAGCCTCATGCCAAACAAGAACAAACACCCACATCTGCTAGGAGTGATCCCAGCAAGCCCTGCACAAGTAACCAATTATATCTCTCATTGAATGTTACCAGTGCTTTGGTAATGAAAAGCCTTCTAACTTGCCTAACTAATCTGAATCTGAGTGAAGAGCACGGGTTGATTCGCAGATGTTTGTAGATGCTGCAGTGCTGTTAATCCACCGATTGTCCGAGGGTTTTGTTCACAGGGTCCTGTTGAGTTGAGGGTAAATAGTTCTGAATAAGATGGCAAATAAAATTAAAGGCTCCACTGAAGACTTTTAACATATTTTCAAAGCTCCTCCCTGCATCGAAGCAGTTGTAACGATCAATGGACCTGGACTTGGGTCAAGCGTGGTGGTCTCTAGAGCAGCGGCAGAAATGAAAGATGTGAGCGCAGGAGCACAAGATCCTCAAGCTTTGGGCAAATGATCTCTGGTGAAGGGGACGGACTCCGTGGACATATCCAGGGATCACAGGAGTCTCTCAGACCCCAATGCCTTCATATGTTAATACTTCATTACCACAATCCCCCCTTTTTTTATTTAGGGCTTTTCTGAGACACAGGTGACCCTGGAGCACAAAACCAGTCATAAGGGTCCATTTTTTTAAATTTGAGATTTATGCATCAGCTGAAAGCTGAATAAATAAGCTTTCCATTGATGTATGGTTTGTTAGGATAGGACAATATTTGGCTGAGATACAACTATTTGAACATCTGGAATCTGAGGGTGCAAAAAAATCTAAATATTGAGAAAATCATCTTTAAAGTTGTTCAAATGAAGTTCTTAGCAATGCATATTACTAATCAAACATTAAGTTTTGATATATTTACGGTAGGACATTTACTAAATATCTTCATGGAACATGATCTTTACTTAATATCCTAATGATTTTTGGCATAAAAGAAAAATGTATAATTGTGACCCATACAATGTATTGTTGGCTATTGCTACAAATATACCCCAGCGACTTAACACTGCTTTTGTGCTGCAGGGACACATATAGAGTCCTCTTTAGGGGTATGTGGTGATTTCAGACAGAGACATCAGACAGACACACACACACACACACCAGAGACATCAGACCGACACACACACACAGAGACACACACACACACCAGAGATATCACACACACACATATTTGAACATCTGGAATCTGAGGGTGCAAAAAAATCTAAATATTGAGAAAATCATCTTTAAAGTTGTTCAAATGAAGTTCTTAGCAATGCATATTACTAATCAAACATTAAGTTTTGATATATTTACGGTAGGACATTTACTAAATATCTTCATGGAACATGATCTTTACTTAATATCCTAATGATTTTTGGCATAAAAGAAAAATGTATAATTGTGACCCATACAATGTATTGTTGGCTATTGCTACAAATATACCCCAGCGACTTAACACTGCTTTTGTGCTGCAGGGACACATATAGAGTCCTCTTTAGGGGTATGTGGTGATTTCAGACTCAGGCCTTGATTACTTTGGTTCAGGCGTGTTTAATTAGGGTTTGAGCTAAACTCTGCAGGAACAGGTTTGGACAGCCCTGATATTATAAGTTCTTCAAATCATTCATGTTGCTGAATCAAATCAGGAGACAACTGAATCAGGCCAGAGGTCAACAAAAACTTTATTATTTGCAACATTAAATGTTTGGATTGCGACATTATTTTACTCTGACACTATGTGTTATATAACTTTTGAAAAGCGAAACAGTGAAGTGTGTCTTGACGACAATATCACACAGTTGCGTGTCTCAAACACAAATTGAGAAACATTTATATTAAAAGGTCTACTTTCATGCATTTAAAAAAATGTTTACAGAGCAAGGTTTGCAGAGGGTTTAATGTGATTACTGCAGAATAAACAACATCGATAAGTGCATTACAGACGTCACACAGTTTCTGGATCCTTCAGAAAGCAACAGCAGCGCTGAACCCCGAAACAGTATGCAATACTCCAGCGGATATCTGAGCACTGCATATTCTGTGTGTCTCCTAACCAAACACAGCTGACTCAACTCAGTAGCAGAGACTCTTGAGACCTGACATGAGTGTGTGATAAAGGTCCAGAAGATTAACAGAAGATAGTAGAAGCACTGATCACACACACACACACACACTTAAAGTAACAGTGCACTGATGATGGATAAAATCAATATGATTTGACATGCAAAAGCAGAAATTGCACAGATTAAGCATATGTCTGTAGTCCAGTGTCTTGAAACAATACAGTATACTACAGGTTATGATATGGAATTAGTCTATTGTGCACAATTAACCACAGCCAGGTCTAATGCTATCAGTGACCCACCACTGATAACCAGTTTAGAAGAAATACTCACCGCAGTTACCTAGAAATAAGTTCTCTGTATAGAGCTTTTTTGCTGCTGCTCAAGTCTGTGGTATGAAACAGGTGTGAGAAAATCATTGGCAGATATGAGGAAAGCGCAGTAAGAAGCCTGTCAAGTGTGTTTTATTGTGAATGAGCTTTAGTGCTTCTTCTCGCCGGAGCCTTTAACGTTGAGTTCATTGTAATGGGTTTGATTTGTCATCTCTGTGAACACACAATAGTAAAGAAACCGAGACATTATCATATTAAACCGGACAAATCTCATTTCACTGCAAATCTAGATTCTCCTTCAAATGTTTTCAAATGTAGTTATGAGTTTCTAGGATGCAGATGAATCACGATTTCTCCCAGCTTTAGTTACAAACTGACAATCTAACGGGACCCATATAAAATATTTCATTCAAAAAATATTGTTTTCCCAATTTGGCATGCATGGCATTTTTTTATTTATGCATGCATAAATAACAACAACAACAATAATAATAATTAGCCAAAATACATTTTAAATATTTGCTAAATATATGTTGTAAACAGTGAAGCTCATTGAAATATATTTTTGAAATTGAAAATACATTCAGTTTCATGCTTCATATGCCTAAATATATTTCAAACTGTACTTTGGGGGCAAGAAAATACATTTACAATCTAAAAGTAGCCTACTTTCAGGCTTCATTCATTATTTATTTTCATTCAGATTGAAACAGTTACATGTTCACACACGTTATAGACAACAAACAAAGTGTTTCTTCAAATGTTCTTGGAAAAATACACAGAATAAAAATGTACAAAAAATACATTGGTAGAAAATATATTTTGAAACACATTTTAGCAAATACATGTGTTGTATGTTTTTAAATATATTCAATGATCTATTTGACAATGTATATTTGAAGAGTTCATTTGCAAAAGCAGATAACTCCGTTTTTAACAATTCTCAGAAATCATGTTTTCGTTGTGCGTTCCAGTTAATCTCAATCAAACTGCAGTCGGGTTATTTTGACTAGGTTAAAAAGTAACTACAAAAAACAGCTAACCAACACAATAAAACACAATAAAAACATGATAACATTATAAACAACATGATTTTTGAAAAGTTATCTGTTATATAGTTAACTATCTACGTTAGATAAACTAAGTTATTGAAGAGTTATCTGTTTCTGCAAATAAACTCTTGATTTGTGTGGTGTCTCTGACCTGCGAGTGTGCTGTGGTGCAGTGATGGCCGCTCGGTGAAGCGCTCGCTGTCTCGGTGCTTCCAGGCGGGACATGGGCGCAGACGCCTGGAAGCTGGACACCTCTCTCTGCCACTCCTCGTCGAAGGACTGGGCCTCCGCTGGGGAGACAGAACACAGCATCAGAGAGTTCAGCTCAGGTGTCTGTGATCTTCTGTCCTGCGGTCAGGACTCATTTCCAGGCTGGGAAATTTGCTTTTTTTGGGCCACAGTGGTTGGTGAGGGGGAGTGAATAACCAGCACTCTCTTCTACCTTCAATACTACGACTGAGGAGAGACCCTTGAGCAAGAACCTGTGTGTGTGTTCATTACTCACTGCTGTGTGTGTGTGAGTGTGTGTTCATTACTCACTGGTGTGTGTGTGTGTGTGTGTGTGTTCATTACTCACTGCTGTGTGTGTGTGAGTGTGTGTTCATTACTCACTGGTGTGTGTGTGTGTGTGTGTGTGTTCATTACTCACTGCTGTGTGTGTGTG